AGAAGCCGTCTCGAACGCTGCTGTGGATCCCGTCTCGAACGACAGCAACGCCCCGCAGGAGGAGCATCGCTCGCCCGCTGCGTCACCCCAACTATGTGACGATGCTGTAGGAGTCACGAGTGCGGAGGCGCCTGACACAAGCAATAAGAGGGCCGACAGGAAAGCGGCCAGAATGGCGAAGGGCCAAGCGTTTAGCTTTGACGGGCTTAGGAGCCATCTCAAAGAGAAGTGAGTGTGCCGCTGCGTTATGCGTGTGATTACGTTGACCGTTCGAAGACACAGGATTTTGCATATTGGAGATGAAGACATCGCCTTTTCACCCACCTTAGCTTGAGTGGGAAATCAGGGCTCGCTGCCCGGGTAGCGTCCTTATGTACAGTATCTGATCGCTGTTGTTCCCGAACCTCTTGTGCGGTGCATTACGGCTCATCTTTCTCAGGCTCAAGCAGTCTAGATGTAACGATTTCTCATCCATGAAGTCACTGTCGAATGCCGAGTTCTCCTTTCAATGAACGGCACCGTGCTCAGGTACGCTGCTCGACGCCTCGCCACTAAGCTACATCTCTGTCGCGCGGACACGCTGCAGAGCCGACCACATTGGCGGGTATACAAGTGAGGTGGACCATGCGAACAAGGATGTCACGCGGGCCGTGGATTTATCAACGAAGGCTTCGCGTGCGCTCGAGATGGACGCTAGTGCCGCCGGCAATGCCTTCTTTGCGTCCTCTTTCCTCGCTCTCGTGTGCACCTCATGAAGCGCGACGGACATAGTACTGCCTCTCACCGCGCACGCACTACTTCATGCGCCACCGTTGTGGCCCCTTTGCAGCGGTACGTCCTCTGCCCACTGTCCCGTAGGTTGCGAGAGTACGGCTTTGTGGGATTGAGTGACGAGGATCAGATAGTCACTTTCGACTGCATCAGAGGCTATCAGAGGCTCTTCATGAGCAGCATGCTCGTTACGGACGTTATCATGTGGTGTCGTAACAGGTCCGATGTGGTGCGTCCCGTACGTTCCCTTTCTTCGCGTTCTAATAATTAGGTGTTTCCCCGGCTCCTCATGTGCCCCTCTGACATGGAAGGGCGGGTCCACTATTGTGGCATCTCAGGGGAGCATGCCGTGGGACGGGAGCCGTGGAATAGGCCCGCCGGCAGACGCGCATTCTCGAGTAGCTATAAATCTGCTACGCTAGGCACCCGCGATGCTCGCGCTGCTCCTGCTCGCTGCCCACTACTCCCAATATGTTCGGAGTCGGCTGTCGCACTAGCGCTGTCGCGCTCGCCATTGCTGTTGCCAGCGTGAAGGCAGGGCCCGTCCAGGCTCCCGGCATCGGGCAGTCTGCATTCGCTGCTGAGTACGCGGCGAAGACAGTGCAACTCTTCGAGACGAGCTGGGCTGCGTACAAGTGAGTCAATTTGTGTCTCTGACAGTATGAAGTTTACCAATGACGGATAGGGAGTATGCCTGGGGACATGATGATCTCAGCCCCGTCAGCGAAAGCTACTCTGACAGCTACGGCGGGTGGGGGGCTACCATCGTAGACGCGTTGGACACCATTGTACGTCGGGATGCTGCCATTCGGTCCTTTTTGCTGAACAAGTCTCTAGTGGCTTATGGGGCTCGAGGTTTGTTCCGCTTGTCCTCTGGCGTGTTGTCGCAGTTAAACTGGCATGTCCAGGACATCTGGGAGGAGGCCCTGAACTTCTCGAGCACGGTCGATTACAGCACGACGTCCGGCGGACAGATTGAGCAAGTCCGGTTTTGGAACGTCGTCAGAATAGCACTCACGTGATGTCATAGCTTGTTCGAGACGACGATTCGCTATGTGGCTGCCTCGCTCTGCGCGTACGAGCTAAGTGGACAGAAGTACCCTGCCCTGGTCAACCAGTCCAAGGTTCTCGTGGACAAAATGACGAATGCATTTGTCGGAGTGCGTAATGTCCTGCAGTATTCAAATGATAGCATGCTAACCGAGCGCATCATACAGAACAATCAAATCCCCTATGGCTACGTGAATTGGAATGAGGGGACACCCGTCGTCGGCACCACCAACATTGCGGAAGCGGGGACTGTAAGCACATCTGGTATAGACGCGAATAACGTATTGATGGCTTTGACCAGTTGACGATGGAATGGTCCACTTTGGCGTATGTTCCCCTCCCTTCTATCGCCATTCAATCTTCTGAAGCACGACAGCGACTTTACTGGGAACGATACCTACCGCCAGCTTGCGGAGAAGCCTGTCATTTACATCGCGAATCTGGTCAGACATGCTGATGGTCCCTGCGGTGATGTATGCTGACGTGCTCGATGACAGCCTCCCCCGCTCCCCAACTTGCCCGCACAAGTAGTTGACCCGACGAGCGGCCAGTTTGCGGACGCGTATGTTGTACGCAATCTTGTATTCCCCCGTGAAGGCCTCCACTTACAGCTACTTAGACGTGGGGCGGTGGTTCTGACAGCTACTTCGAGTACCTCATCAAGTACGCGCGCTTGTCCAACACCGACAACACCCTCTTCGCGGATGCCTGGGCTTCTGCTGTCGATTCGTCCATCTGGAACCTTGCGAGAGTAAGCGCCATAACACTGCTGATGTCGCTGAAGCTTACAGAGGCAATGCAGACATCGACCGTGAAGGACTGGCAATATATGGCTGACTGGGACGACGGCACTATCATCCATATCGGCTCCCACTTGGAATGCTTCCACGCGGGCAACTGGATGCTTGGTAGGCGTCTTGCTGTCGCTTGATGCATGCGGTTCTGATTCGGGCTACCTCAGGTGGCAAGCTCTTGAACAACGACACTATCGTCGGCTACGGCCTTGCTCTCATGGAGGCGTGCTGGAACACCTACGCCAGCACCGCGTACGTCTTCTGCCCTATCTTGACCACTGGACTATCTCCTAATCACTCTGTCCTCATACAGCACCGGCATCGGCCCCGAGGTCTTCGCCTACTTCTCCTCCGACGGCAACTACACTGGCTCCTCGCCGTCCAACGGGGACCTCGCGTTCTACAACAGGAACGGGTTCTTCGTCCAGCCGGGCGGCTCGGACTACTACCTGCGCCCGGAGGTACTCGAGTCCAACTTCTACGCGTGGCGCATCACCGGCGACCCCAAGTACGTGCAGCGCGCGGCGGACGCGGTCGACGCCTTCCTCACGTACCTCCCGACGACCGTCGCGTACGCGGGCATCAACGACGTCGACTCGACGGACTCGACGTTCATCGACGACATGCAAAGCTTCTGGTTCGCGGAGGTGCTCAAGTACCTGTACCTCACGTTCTCCGACCCGAGCGTGATCAGCCTCGACGAATGTGAGTCGCCCGGTTGTCTGTCTCGGTGGTGGCGGGTGTTGACTTCTGAGTAGACGTCTTCAACACCGAGGCGCATCCCTTTAGGGCACCGACCGCGAAGCCGGTGTACGGTAGTGGCCAGATCTTGCCGAGCGACACCTCGGCGTTCAAGTCAGTCTCGCAGCACGGTCCGATCGTCAGCCCTGCACCCGTCGCAGCGCAATCCATTCCTATCCCTAGCGCGACCGCTGCTTGAGAAGGACATTGCAATATTTGAAAATGGACACTGGGGCAGTAGTTTCTGCATGGGTGATTTTGGGACTGTTGCTAATTGGGGCCGTCTTTTCAATGTGTGAGTTATAAGGGAAGAAAAATGGAACACAATGTTGTAGTCATCAGTGAACATACGTCCCGCACTAGGAGACTTTATCAAATGAGCAGTTAGCCATTGGGTAGTGGGCAGCACAGTTGGTACCACCTGTGCCCAGCTTGAAATGCAAAGTTATCGTGCCATAAAATTGGGGATAGGTCAGAGCAAACGATAGCAATGGTACGCGTCAAGTACCTAGAGATACAAACTGCCTCATTTTCTACCGAGCCTCCACTCGCTCGTCTTCGCGAGCGCTTGCTTCCCTGCGAGGGTACTCGGGATGGCGAGGATCCCTCCGTACAGCAAAACCTGCCCTAAGCGCAGGTCGACCCAGTACCAGAAGAGCAAGCCCTCGAACGCAGCGAGAGACACGACGAAGGGCACGATGTGAGGCGAGAGGAGGTGCGGGACGCGCGGTCCGATCTCGTACCACTGCACACCCAGGCATCATCAGCCGAGAGAATAAACGCTAGAGCGGACTGGTGGACATACGAAGCCAAGGAGCACGAACCACGGCCAGAAGACAAACGCGCCGAAGAACGCAGACACGGCCTTCGCGGGGATGCGCTGCTCGGGGCGGAACGTGTGGGTGATCTCTGGGCGCGGCGCGAAGGCGACCTCGTCGGGGTGCGTCGGCGGTGGGTGCGAGGCGGGCACATAGAGGTCGAAGAGCTCATACTGAGCAGGCGCGTGCACGAAGGAGCCAAGAATGAGTGACACTTTCAGTGGGTTCGTCGTCGTCGGCGGGAGAGATGCGGGTGGGCGCGCCATGTTCTGTTGGCAGTCGCGACGGGACGTCAGTCAGGACGCGTGCACATGCTAGAGGATGCAATGGGATGCGCACCAGCTCGAACTTGGCCTTCCCTCCTGGCGTGACGCGTACGGGCTGCACGCCCTCTTCGCCGGTCGCTTCATCGCTGAAGCGCAGGAACGTCTGGTGCGGCTGCACGCCCTTACCGCCCTCCGCCTCAGCGACCTGGAAGGTCAACTTCAGTACATCCGAGGGGCCTAGCTTCACCGTCTCCGGCCTTTCGGTGAGCGAGAGCCTTACATATGAGCGATGGATGTCAGGGCGACTGCGCGCGCGAAATAACGCGGTGGCTTACGACTCGGAGCGCAGCTGCGAGGCATCTGCTCCTGTGACGGTCAAAAGAGGGTTTTGAACAGACAATGAGGCAGCATGGGCCGTTGCAACAGCAAGGAGTGCCGCAACAAGTCTCAGAACGAGGTTCATGGTTGGGAGCAAGGAGGACGCTCTCCTTCGCTGCGCTCCGCACGTATCCCAAGTAGGCGCTGAGGACGTGTCTGCTTATACCGAAGCGAAGCAAAATAGGTCCCAGCGTGATTCGAACACGCGACCCTGCGATAAATTGCAATCCTTGAACAGATTTTGCTGCAATCGCATGCTCTAACCACTGAGCTATGAGACCACGCAGCCTTCATTGCCTTGCACGTTATTATCCTGCTGGAGATCCAACTCGGCAACTCACTCTAAGACGAACCTCCGAGTCAGCAATACCGTATCGTTCGCCCCTCGCTGACTCCGTTATTCACAGGAAGTTGAGTATTGTTCATATCGATGGGCAGGTTCCCTGTTGCTTTCCATCGCACGCACTCAGAAGTTATCACGATACAGCAAGCTTCATTGCATGCCTCGCCATGCTGGGGCGGCATGCCAGTAACCGACCATGGGCGCACCAAGCAGTAATTACCAGGGTATAGAATGTAGTCCGACAGTAAGTAATAAGCGAGAGGCGAAAGCGAGACAACAGCTCAATTTTGTGCGGGCTTGCGGCAGATGACGAGGTACATCGGAGTGAAGAGCTTACGAGAGACCAGTAAGCACACGAGGTCATTCAACGAAGATGAGGTCGTCGTACCTTTGTCCTACCGCCCTCGACGAGCGAGTCGCCTGCAATCTTGAGTGCCTCACCGACTTCCCCTGTACCCTTCGGCACGAGACCCAACCGCTCGAGTACCCAGACACCGTAGTGGGTAACAAGCTTGCCACTCCAACTCATCCGCCATACGGTGATGTAGTCCCAGGCGGTCTGCGCCTTGAAGATGTCGCCCTCGAGCGGGTAGTACCACGGTACCTCATCGGGACGTTCCGCGAGGTCCTCCTCGTGCTCAAGGGTGAAGCCAACCTTGCTCATCGCGTCGCGCGCCTGCCCGATGGGGCGCATCTCGGGGATGCCGTTCCCGAGCTCAATACGGTTCGCGAGCTCCTTGTGCGCGGGCACGGACGGGTCCCACGCGTCGGTCATCACCCACTCGTACACACCGAACACGCCTCCCGGCTTGAGCACCTTCATGATCTCGCCGTAGACGCCCTCGAACGACGGCGCGTGCACGGTCGCCTCGATCGCGTACACCGCATCGAACGTGTTTTCGCCGAACTGCTCCGAGAGCTTCATGAAGTCGCCCTTGACGAAGGACACCTGGCTTTCGAGACCCGCCTGCTTCGTGTAGCGGCGCGCGCGGCCGATCTGGAAGTCGTTATTGTTGAGGCCGACGACGTTCACGTCCGCGAACCGTGCAATCTCGCGTGCAGGCCCGCCAACACCGCAGCCGACGTCTAGGACGCGCATGCCGGGGCGGAGGGACATCTGCGCGGCGAGGTAGTGCTCATGGCGGGCAAGGCCGGCCTGGAAAGCCTCGCCCTTGTAGAAGCGGCAGAAGTGGAAGGAACGTGCCCAGCCAAACTCGTAAAGGTCGGTAGCGCCGTCGTAATAGCCTGTGTGCGCCACCACGTGAGCAGATGCGGGCAATGAGGGAGGTCGCGACGCAACGTACCGTTGACGACGTCGGTGTAACTCTCGACACGGTTGGCTGTATCGCTCTCCGTGTCCTTGGAGATGTCCTTTTGCCAGAACTTGGTGTAGTTTTCGATGCGCTCGTTTACGCGACCGTCAGCCTGGGCGACCATGTTCTAAGTAAGCGCACAGCGGCGTCAGATTGCGCGGTGATAGAGGGTTAGAAGCTGAAGACTCACGAATGGAATCGGCGTCGAAGTGGAGAGATGGGGGAACGGCGAAGGAGGAGGGAGTGAGGGGGTGAGATGCGGAAGAGAGGACAGTTATATTGCGTGGTGACAGTGATTTTTGGACGACCGCACCATCTCGTGCCATCCAATCAGGACGCGCCATGGACACCGGTTAGCCGGCTCAGTCCGTGCTCCTGACGGAGTCGCACGCTCCAAGGTATCCGCGCGATATCTTCGCCACAATAATGAGGATTTCAGCCGCTCTATTTGAATTCAATAGAATTCAATGCTATTCAATGTCATTCCTTGTGGCGCCGTCTCGCACAAAATAGAGGCTCTGGACTGCCGTCAGGTCATAACACCACCCCACGCGCACTGATGATGTAGCCTCAGACCACTGCGTCGCATTGATAAGCAAAAGGTACGACAATGGGGCGAGGCAGTCGTGAAAGGTCGTAAAGGTGAAGCAAGTCTCGTACTCCGATCCAACGTAAGACGCGATGTATGTGTGAGGCTGTATAGAAGGCTTTGCGTGGAAACAACAAACAATGAGAGGGAGATAGCTAGTTAGGATAGGACGGAAATCGACAACGACCACCCGATGCAGTGCGAATTTGTTAGTTTGGGAGCATCCTCCGCTGGTCGTGACATGGGAATGCTGGGGCCTAGGCCAAAGAGAGGCTGATATTATCGGTAAGTGTTGGAGAAGGTCATTATATCGGCGGGCCAAGATGTAGACAGGGGCTTGCGAGACGGGACGAGGCGAGCCAGGGAATCAAGGCCAACCGCTATGCCTTACTTCTGGTTGGCTGCCTGGACGAGGAGCGCCTTCTCCTTCAGCACGGACGGGTAGCTGTTCATGAGGTGCGCCAATGGGCGCAGATCGTCTTGGTCTAGGAGGGTGATCGTAATCTTGGGCTATGTCACGCCATACGTCAGCCAGACACTTCTCCATTGAGCGAAGTTGACCTACCGCCCCCTTGATGCCGAATGCTTTCACTACTCGGAAACTACACAAACGCGGTCAGCACCTGCACTACAGTCATCAACCCACCAATGGGTCAGTACGGTGTGATGGGCCACCTTCTCTATTCGGTGAAACCCCTCAACTGACTGCTTGGTCAGGGTGGCAGTACTGACCCACTTGTGGGCTTATGAATGTATACAACAAGCTCACGAACGCACATCTTGTCGCCCAGTTGCTGCTTCTGATGCTGAATGGGCTTGTCCATCAGGCCGTCCATGAAGTCGTCCGTAGCCTTCACCACAAGTGGGTCGGCCTTGGGCAGAGGCAAACCCGTCGCAGAGGACGAGTTCGCCAGTCTGATAATCTCCGACGCAGGCAGCCTAGCCAGCGACGCGATCGTGTGCGTCGTCGACGCAGCCGAGCTGCTTGGGGTCTCCGGCATCGGCGACGCCGCCGCCGAGGGCCCGCGCGACGACATGTCCGGCGTCCGCGGGCTCGCGTCCATCGGGGCGATTTTCCGCGCCTGTGGCGTCACCGGCGGCTCGGACGCAGCAGCATTCGCGGGCGGCTCCTCGTCCTCGTCCACGTCGAGCACCATCTTCGCGTCCGCGAGCTTCGCGCGGAGCACCTCCACGTTGAACAGGCACATCGCGCGCTCGCGCTTCGGCAGGCTCATCAGCAGATCCGTCAGCTCCGCGATGCGGTTCGACTCCAGCTTCGCGACGGCCACTGCCATCCGCTCCTTCTCGGACGTCGGCGGGACCGAGCCCGATGGCGACTCCGTGCGCGGCGGCGTGGAGAGTGTCGTGGGCATCGAGATTGGCGTGGAGGGGTGGTCGGGTGCTGACGCAGTCGCGTTCGGGGCGACCATGTCGAGAGTGCTGGACGGCGACGGCGACTTCGAAGGCGCCGGCCGTGGAATATCATCGGACTTGGCTATCTCCACCAGCCTGGCTAGCCACGTAGGTTGTTGGATGCCCTGAACGACTTCGCTAAGGGACATGCCGACGACCGTCTCGACGACGGAGTCGAGCTCCGCGGGTGAGACAAGGTCCATTGATTTGATGCGTCTCTTCAGCTCGCCCGAGAGAACTTCTTTTCGGACGACGAGCGAGAGTGCGGACAGGTCGTCAAAGCGCATAGGCAGATTGAGGGTGCCCGAGAGCGCAGCCTAGGACACTGTCAGCTCCTACAAGCGTCCAACCTAATATAAAGGCCTACATGATAGTAACTGCCCGAACTCCTCCTTGCGCGGTCGGGTCGGTCAAGGTTATGTTGAGCCATCACAGGTGAGCCAAGGGCTGCCGGGTGGCTGCTGGGACTCGGCCATCCAGCATAGCTCTCCCCAGCTTCACTCGCTGTCGGGCTAGTGGCTCCGCTACCATTCCGTGGATGTCCATTGTGCCCAGCGAAGCGTGCAGCCAACTTTTCTTGCCGCAGTTGCTTCGGCTCGTGAAGACGCACGACGAGTTGTTTTGTGCCGAACACAACACCATTCATGGCGTGCATAGCCGCCGCGGCTGCAGGGCGCGATTAGTACCTTGATATCTACATAAGAGGGACTGCGCACCTTGATCGGGTGTTTGGTATGAGACGAAACCGAACCCACGGCTGTCGCCGTTCTCGTTGCGCATTACACGCGCACTAAAGAGACGTGAGCGTCCATGGAGAGAGACACCCCAAACTACGCATACCTGACAATTTGACCGAACTACAGTCACAGTCATGTGAGCACAGTATCATGGATGTACCCTTACCCCAACGCTCACCTGGCGGAAGTGCGTGAAGAGGCCATTAGAGTCGATGGACGTATCGAGGTTCTGCGAGGCATGAGTGTTGGTCGTTGTGCAGCCATGTAAGGGGGGACGCACTTTGATGAAGAGATTGCATGGATCGATCAGTCCACTGTGGCTAGTAGACCCCGGCCCCGACAGGGGGGCCAACTGTACCTGTTGGCCAGGGCCATGCACGAAAACGGGCGAACGAGGCTGATAAGGGGGCGCTCGTGGCGGAGAGTACTGGTGCGGTGGTCAGACGGGACGCGCCATGGACGCCACATACACTCACTTGCGTGGGGTAAGGGAGAACCGAACCGGTAGGCACGAACGTAGGCGCAGTCGCGTTGAATTCGCTCATACCAGCACCGCCGCGCCGCGGCTGATACACTTGCACGGCGATGTTCTGCCCCTCTACGTCGGCACAGTGCATAGCCTCCTCTGCCTCTCGCGCGTCTTCCTCGCGCCAGTACTCAACTATGCCTGTGTCCCGCCCAAAGGGCGATTGCGTGCGCACCGACGCGAGCGCACCATACGGTCTGAAGAGGTCGTAGAGCTGTGAGTCCGTGTAACCCTCGGGCAGGTGCTTGACGAGACGCGGCTGCGCGCTGGGAGGCGGCAGAGGCGTCGGCGGCGAGGTAGACGGGTACGGAGAGAGGACGAGGAGGGCTGCGGGCGTGAGGCCCTGTAAGGGACGCGCCT